GTTGCGTCCCAGTTTTTATTCCAGTCTTATTTGAGGGTATATTATTAATATATTGACATGACAAATGCCCTGTTCATATTGAAAGGCAAAAATGGGGGAAATTTCAATACTACCCCCTCCTCACCCTGCATTTTGAGGCTACTATTTGCCATTGTTCTATTATGAAAATCTCTACTCTCCGTCACTCTTGCTTTATAAGAATATTAGAATGGAGTAAGTTAAGTTACCTGTGTTCAGTTACCTGTGTTCTTTTGTGTGCACAGATACGCAGACATACAAGTACACACCACAGCCTTTTATACGAGTCGTGAACCACTCAGTCAAACACCCAGAATTACATAACGCACAAACAAACTTGTCTGAACCGGGAATCGAACCCGGGGCCAAGCGATAGTGGTATACCTTGACTCTGCCACTGAGCCATAGCGGGTGGACTAAAGACCATACATAAACGGGATATACCAAGAGATAATACTCACCTTCATTGGTGGTTAACAAAATATAATACAATACAATACAATATAATACAATACAATACAATAGATAGTTCAGTAGTGATCCTTATCAACTTTAAGCACACTTATTTCCTTATTTTGTGGTACTACAGTAAATCCTGTATATGTATAAACACTTTGCTGAAGTTATGCCACCTCAATATATAACCACTTTCCTTTTAATTTGCTGAAATCCCATTGGTTTTAATGTTATGGCCTCTTCCAACATGAATATCTGTCAAAATAAACACTTTTCACTCAACTTTTAGAGTAACGGTAGCATTCACTTCAGACAGTGTTTATGTATTTTGAAGCTGTTGAAAGTCATCATGTCCTTTAAACCATTAAGCAAATATAACCCCATATCTTCACTTATTGACATCCTGAAGAACATTCATTTGTACTATACGAGTATAGTACATGTGATAACTATGTGTGTAAACACTGTCGTTCGAGAAACATCTAGAAATACAAAAAATATATTACAACAGTTGGACTAATTAACAGATTCGATACAGTAAGTAGTGTATCCTGTACTTTAATGTTGACATGTAACAGTTTTACTATTGACAACATTTTTGTGTCATAAGCGTAATATATCTGCTAATGCAAGTATTAGTAGGAAATGTCATAAAATGTTATTGCGATGGTATTATGTATTGTATCTAAGCTACTGTGGTTCATAGATCCCTTAGAATTATATATATATCCCGTAGATCCCGTAGTTCGTAGAATAAGGACATATTATTTGAAATTATTTTTCAGGTCTCTAGTATTAGTACTTTCTGACCAGTCACAATATGAGAAGTTTCACATATGGGGTTATAGCTAAAACATATCCGCAACCGCATCTCATTTATTTGAACTATGCTTAGAACTGGAGTATCTGGCGAATGTGTTATGGATTTTAGGTACATTCAGCTAAAAGGTTGTGTGGAACTTCTCTAATGTCATGTCCTTTCTGAAATGCTAATTCTTGAAAATGGTATGCTTTGAGCCCGTGGCCTAAAGAGAATTTTGGTCCATGTTGAAAGAGAAGTATGCTTGAAATATTTTTTTTTGATAATGGAATAGGTGGAGGGAGGGTTTTTCACAGGGTGGAGAAAACAATTTTGGGAGCTGGGCTTCAGAGTTAATGTCCTGATTTTGGAAAATAACATAATAACTATCCGTAATTAATGCCATTTTGACCAGCTGCTCTCTGCTGCAATTTTTAAAGGTCTTGATGGAAGAAAATAAATAATAGACACTAATAATAATGATTTATAGAAATTTCAAAAAGGAAACTAATTAAACAGGATCAAGTGTTTTATGGTATACTAAATCATCTCAAAGGTGATTGCTCCCCTCCCTATAATACAACCTCCAATAAAAACATTTCTTTGATATAATACAAAACCTTATCTCGATATGGAGACCGGAGTCCGTAATCATGGAAGAATGGTGGTGAAAAGTTATTGAATTATTGTTTCCTTAACATAATGTCTAAACACCCCTACCCCTAAATGTATTTAGCATTGTGTAAGAAAAGACTTTGAAATGCAGATTCTTAGCTTTTAAAAAGGTGACAAAGGTAATTTACAAGCTATTGTAAACATGAGCAAGCGTATACGAATTCTACAAGAAAGATTCGTGATTATGTTGAGTGCATAAAATAAAAGCTTAGTCATTTTTCGTTTCTTAAAATTAATCATCAGTATATACAAGACATTGTTTGCATGTTATGATTTCATGTGCTATGTGACCTTCAGAATACTATGATTGACACAGTATTGATATTTAGATTTTTTATGGTAGTTTAAGATTAAATAGAGTATGTGTAATAGTACTGGGCCTATATAACAGTAAATGATATCAGAAGCCCAGTGCCGTTCATCTGCAATGCCTGCCAGATTTGAAAAACTCTAACACAACACTACCCCAAAGTCCTAGACTAATGATCAGTTACTCCATTTACAATATCTGATACTTTATTCATAATTATATCAAATATTTCATTTACAACACCAGATACTCTATTTATAATATCAGATATATCATTTACAATATCAGATATTCTGTTTATAATATCAGATATTCTGTTTACAATATCAGATATTCTGTTTACAATATCAGATAATCTAATTACAATATCAGATAATTCACTGGCGGATTAGGGGGGGGGGGGGCCAGGGGCCAAATTTTGAAGAAAATGGGCCTCAAAATTTCAAAATTTGGGCCCACTTTTGGATTTTAGGGGCCCAAAATTTTTTTTCGCGCAAGCGTGGACGTTTTTTCTCTGACCTGAAATTTGGGCCCCCCCCTTGTTGGTTCCTGGATCCGCCCCTGTAATTCATTTATAATATCAGGTACTCCCTTTATAGTATTAGGTACTTAGTACATAGTGCTGAATTTGGGTAATTTTCATGTTTTTATATAAAATTATGTTTTTTTATAATAAAAATGGGATACTTTGTATGTAAATAGAGCAATGACACACCCTTCTCAGTACTCACAAGGCTTATTAATTTATACATGTACAGTCAAGTGAAATGATATGTTATCAAACCTTATGAACTTTAAGATATCAGATCAATTTAGTGCAATATTAACAAATAAATTGAAGAGTGTCTCTTGGGTACTTCATGCTTTAAATGTAACTAGTATGAAGGTTGAATTAACGCTCATTAGGAGTTTGATATTTGGAGGGACAACTTGTTACTGCTTTTTTCAATTGGGATACTTTAGTGAGAGCACTACGCTGTTCTGTGATAGTACTAGGCTGTGTTGTGATAGTGCTAGGCTGTGTTGTGATATTGCTATAGTCTGTTGTGATAATTGATAAACCAGGTCAGTAATATATTTCTTTTTTTTTATTGACAGTTGAATCAAAACATAACATACATGTACAGACTAGTAAGTCTCGACTCAGACAAAGTAGTGTTTATCACTCTATGGTTAGATAATGGATCAACTGATTTTCAATCGTACACCCTTAACAAAAGATTCTATTCGTATCTCTAAAGGCGGTGAGGAGGTTATGTCAGTAGCATATGGAACTGCTAGTAATTATAAAACAGAAACATGTGATGAGTATCAGAATGAGAACAATTAGTTTAGCTATGTAAGAGCTATGATATTACAGTGAGTCAAGGGGCTTAGTTGAAGTGTGGACTTCCTGATCAATGGACATTACATTCACAAGGAATGTATAGCTATACTATATCATACTATTAAGTGTTCTTAACAGAATTTTTCTCAAGTGGATGTAAGATTCTCATTTTCACAATTTAGACCGAAATTAGGCACAATTTGCTTATTTGTCACGATTTTTCTCATTTTCAAGTGGGTGCAAATGGGTTTTCAGGTGGGTGCAAGCCTGTTTTTATTAAAATCTCAGATGGGTGCTGCGCCCACTTGCTTTAATGCTGGGGAGATCACTGCTATTTCTAATATAATACTTCTCATACATTGCTTAAAAGATCCTTCTACAATAAAACCTGTCTAAAGTGAACAGGAATGCAACAAGTAAAAAATGATTTTATTAACAGTTGTTCCTGATGAAATTGAATTATCATAGGAAATCTTAGAGTATATTGCAAGATTCCATGCATCTTATTGTTTTGAAATTACCAAGGGAGATCAAGAAATATGGGACTGAAAAATGTTCACTTCTCAAGGGGCATGTAAGAGTAAAATGCCCTTTAGGGAGCATTTGTTAATATGTTTACATTAGCAATAAAATAACACATTCATTGAAGCAGTTACTATTTTTTCTAAGTCTGACCACTTTCAAGCAACGGTTGACCGTTCATGAGCGATAATACCTCGATAAAATCATGCACTGCACGTTTAATCCATCGTTCATGTTGCCAGGTTTTACTGTATGATCATGTATCATCTCCATATGGCCTGAATATCATGTATTGTTATCAGAACAGTCAATACACTACTTGATTTGATTGAGCACTTCAACACCAACAATGATAAGTAACATTTGGCAATATAACAGGTGAACTGGAATTCAAAGTCTGAACTGATTTTTTCAAGTATACATATTAATTTACTTCCATGAAAAATCTAAGTATTTATATAAAGATTGATGAAAACTGAAGACTACAATATTAAATAGAGTTGATTGAGATTCTGACAATTATTCTTATGCTGCTGTAGTTCATTAGATTATATAAAATGTAAAGAAACAATTTTGAAGATGAATGTGTAAAAGTGTAAATCAGGCATTTGCCTTGCAGTAAACTTTTTGTTTTTCAAAACGATGGGGTGATAAGATTTTTCATATTGTAAAATTACAAGGATATCATATCATTGACCTAGAACATATCAGAGAGAAATTATTGAGAAGGCAGTTGGTCCATTACATCAAAAATTAAAGAAAAATTCATAAAATTGCTTGGAATAACCAGGCAAACATGCTGCTAAACAGACATCAAATTTGTAATGGCCTAATGGTAATTATCAAAAATAATCATTTAATTCAACCAACCAGTGCTCTCTATTTGTTTTCAGATATACCATTGATATTAGTAAAGACAGAACCTGTAGGGGAGAACGCATCTGTAGAATACAGTACTATCCATAATGACCTGTTGATCGGAATACAAGGCTAGAAAATATGGACTCTAGTCCTGGTGAAGGATTGCGAGATTACGGCTCGTTTTCATATAATCGCTATGACGACAAAGAGGCGGAGGAAGGTAAGATTTCATTGCTTACTGGATCAGATTAATTACATCTAAATCGATCACTTCACTGTAAATAGGATAGTTATTTAATCGTGATTCACTATTGTTTCATTTTGAAAGATGTGTAAAGAGACACAAAGGAAAATTCGCACGATGAGAATTTCATGTTTATAAATTTTTAAATGGAATAGGTTATATTTTTCATGATTTTGTACATATTTACTCATTAAGGTAAAATACATTGTTCAAAAGATTGAGAATAAATTTTATTTTTCATTTTTCTGTGAGAGTGCAGAACTACTATACAATATGTATTATTAATAACATATTTACATTATCGCAATTGCTAATTTCGTAATGGCATCTAATAGTAGATAAAATCACTTTCGCCAAAATATATTCATTTAATAAATTCTGCTTTTGTCATTGAGATAGATTTGGTTACATTATATCTATATTTTTAAATGTCAGGTATGAAAAAAGAAAAAAATAGATGAAAATGTCTAAAATATAAATTGGTGATTAAATCGCAAAGCCTAATGAATCTTTATCATCTTAAATTGCTATCTATTGTATGCAAAACAGTTTAGTCTTTATGAAAAAGATACAACTGTCTGTTAGAGTACTTTTAATGAGAACAAAGTCTTAATACTGCAAACATATTAAATGATATTCAAGTTGAATTAATATTACTTGAATTAAAACTAAACCTTATTTAATATGATCTTAAAATAACAGTTATTTTAATTCTCAAGAGGTTTTAACTATTTAACGATTTTTTAATGATCTATTTTTACTTTTCAAAAAATCATTGGATCACTTATCATTAAGAAGTAATTATTGTAATTTGCGCACTAATTATCTTAGAATTTATGTCACGTTTGAACTGTTAATGGATTGATTCAGCCCTGATTTGTTTTAAAAATAGCACAAACGTACAAGAAAACCTGTATTTAATATCGGTTATATTTTGAATTGTATTTAATACATGATATTTAGATATAATACTATCCCTATCTTAATATTGGTTATTAGTTAATGACTATGATTATTAGTTTAGTTAGTTAGCATCTTGTTCCTAAAAATCTATGTCAAATGAATATTTAAACACTGATTTTTAATGAAAAATTGACATTGACAATGTTGGTATGTATGATCCATTCTATCTTCAAGTCAAAACAATGACAAATCATTAGTTGTCCAATACATTCCACAGTTTATTTAGACTTTGTATTTATAACCTAAGATCGGAAATTGAATTTTGGGATGGGAAGGGGATGTTGTGAATGCACAAATAAGTACAAGGTCAACACGCTAAGGACATTAAATAGATCTCTCTTTAATAGTAAGTGCAGTGGATACACCATGTATACAGTACACATAGAGCATCCTCAAGTATTTGAAGATCCTTTGATTTCATACTTTATTTTGATTGATTTATGAATTTGCATTTATATGTTTGTTTGAAATCAAGTATTTTGCTGTATCAGTTTAGATCTGAGAACTCTCAAAATGACATTAAAATGACTTACTCGTATATGGTCGATCAGGTTTAGATTAACATGGTTGTTAAGAAACTTGCATTTGGATTAGAAATGTGTTCGGATACACAGGTTTCACTGTATGTTTTTATTCCATTTAATATTAAATCGAACACTATTCAATAATGCCCTTGGCGATTAGGGAAATCTACAAATGTATTATACATGTTTATTGAAACAAATATTTTATGATAAATTCAAAAAAAGAATTCTTTTCAAGTTCAAATTTTTGTTAACATCATTTTAACATTTTGAATATTTATACAATACATGTTTGTAACTTTACATTCCATTTATAATAGTCCACCTGTAACTTGTTCTATGTAATTTTGCATATTAAAATAGATATCTTATTATAATTTTCTTAAATGAAAGCTTTTTAACTTCAACTTTTTCTTTATCACTGATTTAAAGTTTTGAATTGACAATATTTGTATCATACAGCTCTCTGACCTTGTATTCTATTCAAAATATACCACCTGTAAAAAGCTCAATGCAAATAAAAAATGGATTTCTTTCAGTGTTTTTCTCCTCAATATATAGAGTATTATAACAGTATAATAACATAGAATTCTGTTTTGATTCATCACCACTTATTTCTAAACATTTGGCATTTAACTTTAGTTATTTCTCTTCAAAAGATTTGCGATGAATGTGAAGTTAAAATCATGGCGCATTAAGACCAGGGAATCAGTAAAGATCATTTTTATCTGTGAATTTTTTATGAATGGATACATGGGATATGATACCAAATTATCTCAGTTTAGTTCGAAATACATGTATAAACACACCTTTTTTAGCTAATAGGCATCTTTCAAGATTTTGACCCTCAACTCAAAAGTATTTACTTGAACTCAGCGGTGTGATTTAGAGCTTTATTAAGGACTTCAAAAGAAAATTTTAACTCATAAATACTAGAGTTGTATACCAAAAAAAGTTCTCTATTACACATAGCATGAACATCACAAAGCTGATTTCATAAATGGATGGTGTCCAAATGTGGACAGTTGTGAAAAAATTATGGTTCAACCTTCTTTCTCATCCCAATATAGAAATTGCTGATTTATATTCTTTTGAATTTTCCTTGAAAATCACGTTAATCTCAAATGAAATCTCAATTAACCATCAGTCACATTTGCTCTACGGTGGCTGTAGCAAAATCGATATAGAGAATGTATATATCATACTGCTTATCTCTATATGTTATGCTGCTTATTTCTCTCACTTTTTGGGAAGCTACAGCTGCTGTACGGTTGCCGTAGATCAAATGTGACTGAGGCATTATTTCCTCAGCTAACAGAATTTATTCTGTTTATGATGATTTTGTCATTGACATTTGGATAACAAACCCAAAGGCATCATTAATGTCTCTCCTTATTTCTTGTTTCAGCTCATCACAGGGCAGATGCAGCGCCATCTTTGTATGTTGGGATGCACTTCCCAGGAGAAGGACGTCGACACCATAAGAAACATAAAAAGAGAAGTTCAAAAAAAGATCTAGCTGAAGAAGATGGTGCTCCGAGAGAATCTTTTAAACCACCTTGTATGTATTGCTTTCGTCAAGTTCACAGTCACCTTCTTTGACATTACAAGGAAAGAGGAAGATATGTTTTGAATCAATATTTTATTACCAACTAAAGCTTTCACTATTAATGATAGATAACTGAAGGCTCATATTGTGATGTAAATCACAGATATTGTGATGTAAATCACAGATGTTGTGATGTAAATCAAAGATATTGTCATGCAAGTCAAACTATAGATATGCATGTACTTTCTGCTTTCTGAATTCTACCTTTGTGGTCTTTAATACCTATTGGGTTGATTGATGATAAAGAGCCCCAAGTTTTAGTCTAGAGACCTAAACATCTTCATTTATTAATAGCATAGCAAAACTTATTGAATTGCATGCTTCTTCGTGTTTATTTGTATGAATTTATACAAATATATGTTCACAATTACTTAACTAAATAAAATGTCAAAGGATGTGACCTTTGTATTTTTTAATACAGATTTGGGGGAAATAGCTCTGTGTTTATTTCTGCAATGTGAATTCTCTTGTGTTGAACATTTAGTTCATTTTCCCATGTGCATGAACATTTCATTTTTTGGATTCATAACTACGTGTTCTTAACTGAATAAAATGTTAAAGGATATGGCCCTTATATACATTTTAATATAGATTTGAGGGAAAAATCTCTGTGTTTATTTCTGCAATCTGAATTCTCTTGTGTTGAACATTTGGTTCATTTTCCCGTGTGCATGAACATTTGATTTTTTGGATTCACAACTACATGTTCTTACCTGAATAAAATGTTACAAAGGATATGACCCTTATATACATTTTAATATAGATTTGAGGGAAAAATCTCTGTGTTTATTTCTGCAATGTGAATTCTCTTGTGTTGAACATTTAGTTCATTTTCCCATGTGCATGAACATTTCATTTTTTGGATTCATAACTACGTGTTCTTAACTGAATAAAATGTTAAAGGATATGGCCCTTATATACATTTTAATATAGATTTGAGGGAAAAATCTCTGTGTTTATTTCTGCAATCTGAATTCTCTTGTGTTGAACATTTGGTTCATTTTCCCGTGTGCATGAACATTTGATTTTTTGGATTCACAACTACATGTTCTTACCTGAATAAAATGTTACAAAGGATATGGCCCTTATATACATTTTAATATAGATTTGGGGGAAAAATCTCTGTGTTTATTTCTGCAATCTGAATTCTCTTGTGTTGAACATTTGGTTCATTTTCCCGTGTGCATGAACATTTGATTTTTTGGATTCACAACTACATGTTCTTACCTGAATAAAATGTTACAAAGGATATGACCCTTATATACATTTTAATATAGATTTGAGGGAAAAATCTCTGTGTTTATTTCTGCAATCTGAATTCTCTTGTGTTGAACATTTGGTTCATTTAACCACGTGCATGAACATTTGAACATTTTTTTTTATTTTTTTTATTTCATTTACTTACTAGTGCTACCAATTCCTGAGAATGACATATACCAAGGTGAATGCATGACACGCCACACTTTACCATGAACCACCACATCAATGCTTGCTTTTCACATTTTACTTAAGTGACTCAACTTCAAAATTCCTCAAAAACATAAGTAAATAAAATAATAATCTACTATGGTACAACTTTTTTCATTAAAAAGACTTACCACATAAATAGCTTGGAAAGTATAAAACTATGATGCGAGCATATTATGTAGAACATAGAAAGGTTAAAAAATCACTATCTAATTACAGATCGTTATGCTTTGAAATGATCTAGAGTATTTTAGAATCACAGTTGAGCCTCTTTTATAGCAAATTTTGTTGAGCCTCTTTAATAGCAAATTTTTATGTTTCTGATTCTATTTCATCTTTCTTAAATGTTAGATGTTTTGTTTTTAGGCTTTATCTAGGCTAGTTGTCTTATTTGTATTATATTATTCTTATATTTTTATTCAAACACTTTTAATAGAGTACTCGTGTGTACTATGCTGTTTTTTCATAGATTCACTCATAGTATTTCACTGTTTATAAAAATATTATATTCATCATTATGTTGCTAGAGTGTTTGTTCCTACTTACTTCAGCTTTTGTGAGTGTGTACATTTTATTTATCTTAGTGATGTCTGATCTAAGCTTGTATTAGCGAATGCAACTAACGCCTATCGGCTACCGGATTAACCTACTATTTTATGGGTAACTCATTTAAGTATCAATAGTACCTGCCACTATTCCATTCATATTTTAATGAGTTGGTCATAAAATAGTAAGTAAATCCGGTAGCTGACAGGTGTTAGTTGCATTCGCAAATACAATCTTAGTATGTCCTTTGTGTCTGTATTCTTTCATCATATAAATGTTTTGATTTAAATCACAGCAGTGTTATTTATGAGTATCATGTATGATCATCATGGTGGTGATATAAGCAGAATCACTTTTATTAATTTAAATTTGTATTTTTGTTTTGAATATATTCCAGTTATTGCGATGCTAACTATGTTGTTTTCATATTCTAGCTACACCCCCTTCAGAGCGCGTCCAGTTTTTGATTGGCCAGGATGCTGCCAATGACGAGGCTCACGAGGCGCATGACCTGTTCTGTGAGATGGAGGAGCTACATATATATGATGACCAGGAAATGGAATGGAAGGAAACTGCCAGGTAATTCCTCAGTCACATCTGATCTATGGCAACCGTGTGGCAGCTGTTGCTTCCCAAAATAATGAGAAATATGGAAAGTAAAAAGTAGGATAAGCAGTACAATGTTGATTTTCTATATTGATTTTGTGAAGCTACGACTGCTGTACACCTGTCCTTGAGCAAATGTGACTGAGGCTTGAGTTAGCCGTTGTTGACAAGCAAAGCTAGTTTCATATTGTCTTTTCCCCATCCCTTTATAAAAAAAAATCAAAATATTGATTCAGTTAAATACCTAGGGTCAAAAATCAATATTTTACACTAACAAAATTGTGATTTACTCCCTCATTAGAAAGAATTTTTTTTTATCCCAACACACCATCCCTAAAACATCTTAAATTAGGGTTATCCACATCAGATCCAATAGTAATGTGTAAGTTGATCACCATACCTAAGATGCTCAATACAAAAAATTCAACTCAGTCAAGTGAAATACTAATTCGTTCCTTATTAAATTCTTAAAAAGTAGACTTTCCAAAGATAGGGAATGAGTACAATTGATCAAGCCTCAATAATACAACATTTATATTCCATGGTTTCAATTGATCTACTAGTAATCTTGATGAAATGTAGTTATAACCAACATTGAATAAATCATCTACTCATTTTAGATGGGTAAAGTTTGAAGAGGATGTAGAAGAAGGTGGAGATAGGTGGTCCAAGCCCTTTGTGGCAACACTATACCTCCATGCCCTCTTTGAATTGCGCAAGGGCCTAATGAGTGGCACCTGTTTACTTGATATGGAGGCCAGTGATTTGGCAACAATTGCAGGTGAGTTCTCTCTCAGATTGGTTTTACCCCATGATGAAATATATGAGGATTTAGTATTGTTTCAGTAGGGATCTGGTGAAGCCCTCCATCTGGTAATCTGTCCAGAAAATAACTCGAATACTAGTGGATGGATTGACGGATGTTGGTAAATAGTTATACACAAATTTTCAAGATGGCTGTCACTTTGTTATTTTACCTTTTTGTTGTAACTGGAAAAGTAGGAGAGCAACTTTGTTAATACATGTATTTCATATGTGAATACAAAGAAGCATATAACACTTTGACTTATAGATGGCCATTTTCAAAAATGTTTGATAGGATGTGCTAAGTATTTGTGTTGCCATTATCTAGATAACTTTGATGTAAACTTCTATTGATTGTTAGAAATAAAATTGTATAAAAATGCCTATTTTCTAACAATCCCTAAGTTTAATCATAGTAAATACAGTTTTGCATAGTTGTTTATTTGTCAATTAAATCGATTTTAAATGTACAGGCAACTGACACCCATACGGGTGTATATAGTTACATATGATTATATTACATAATTGTATTAATCAAGATGACAAGATATAGAACTGTTTTTTAAGATAGAAAGTTAAAAGAAAAGTGATAGAAGAGAAAGAAATATACATATATAAAAGCACATATAGCTAAATGTTATACAGATTTATTTAATACTTGTCCAGATAATACTTTTTCAAATCTGACTTAAATTTATTTCTAGAATTCAGATGTTTAAAAGTTTCAGGTAATTCATTCCATGTTATTTGTCCTATGTATTTAATGCTCCTTTGTCCAAATGTAGATTTAAATTGATTAGCTCTAAGATTGAATCTATAACGTGTCTCTTGACCATGAGTTTGAGCATTTGATATGAAGTAGTCAGAGAATAAAGTTTTAGGAAATTCTTTAGGTCGTTTGAGACAATTATATACAAAAATACCGACATTTAGCTTATGAATATCTTCTAATTTAAGTATTTTTATTTTTTTAAATTGTGGAGAGGAATAGTCTGTTCTAGCACTGTTTGTAATTAGTTTTAAGAATCTTTTTTGTACTTTCAAAATTTGAAACAATAGAGCTTTAGTTGCTGTTCCCCAGATAAGAATACAATAATTTATATGGCTATATATAAGAGAGTAATAGATAGACATCATTGCAGTGTGATTTATCTTATTTTTGACCTTGAAAAGAATTCCTACTACTTGTGAAATTTTGGTAGATACATGAGCAATATGCTCATTCCATTTAAGTTTATCATCGATAATAACTCCAAGGAAAGTGGTCTTTGAAATTCTTTCAATAGGTTTATTTCTAATTTTAATATTTAGCATTTTTATTTCAGATTCTTTTAATTTGTGTGGATGAAAGATCATGAATTTTGATTTTTCTATATTAAGCGATAGTTTATTTGCACATAGCCATTCGTCAAGATTTTCTAATTCAGAGTTAACATGATTAATGAGAGTACTTAGGTTTTTATGTGAGCAGAGAAGGTTTGTATCATCAGCAAAGATAACAAATTTAAATATAGAAGATGTCGTAACAATGTCATTGATGTAAATAAGAAACAGAATAGGTCCAAGGATCGAGCCCTGTGGAACCCCACAGGTGACTGTGTTGGTTTTGGAAGTCTTGTCATTATATTCTGTTTCCTGAGTTCGGTTTGAAAGATAGCTAATGAACCACTTATGTGCATTTCCCCTGATTCCATAATAGTATAATTTTTGAAGAAGTATTTCATGATTAACCGTATCAAATGCTTTAGACAAGTCGATGAAAATAGCAATATTAAGATCTTTCTTTTCAATTGACTGGATTAATGTTTCTAAGAAGCTGGTAATAGCCATATATGTAGATCTGTTTTTTCTAAAGCCAAATTGCTGTTCACAGAAGATATTATATTTCTCTAGAAAATCTACAAATCTACAAATCACATCAATTTTTGTTAAGAACACATAGCCATCCATACAGCTATTCATACTTTCTTATTATTTGCAGATCTTGTAATAGAGAATATGGTTGCCAGTAAACAGCTGGACCCAGGTCAGTCTGATAATGTCCGTGACGCTCTCCTGTCTCGTCATCGCCATCAATATCAAAAGTCTCACGCGTCTGAGAAAAAAGGGAGCAGCAAAGGTCTACCCATCATTCGCTCACTAGCAGATATTGGCAAAAAACACTCCGAACCAAAAAATTTAGGAGGAAGTAAGTATAGAACGATCATTTACCAATTGAATTGTTTTGGATAAGTTCAGCCAGTACTTGTTATAATATCATGAGTTGTGATCCATGAAAAATCAATTGTCTTTTACAATGTTATGGTCCTATTATCATGACAGACAATTTTTGATATTCATGGGTCATGATTCAAGATATCCTTCAGGAAATAGGCTAAGATCTAAAATCAAATTGTTTCTCTATATTCTTGTTCTGTCTCTTGTATGTAGCATCTGTTTTATGGTAAACAAATATGACTTCATTTGTAATTTTTCTTTGTTCTCGTCTTGGATATCACAACCATTGAATTATAACTAAATATCTGCCTTTATGTTTTACGTAAAATCATTTCTTTATTGTTCATAATCTTGTGTATTTTATCTTTTTAACTTTTGTGTCTCTATAATATTATAACATACAGCATTGTGTAGCAGCTTAGTGATTACATAATTTATTACTCTATACAAATGTGTTAGTTTAATTGGAGCTGTACATAAATGAATTAATATCCACTATGTGTATTAATTGTCTCTGTGCGATACTCTTAAAATAGCGCTTAGGGTGTGAATCATTCTTAAGGGTCAGTCTTTGTTTAATTTTTCATTTTGATAGTCTTCTTCTTGGTATCATAGCGTAAACTCTTATTGTGAAAAACAGATGTGTATCATTTGACGAATCCTCGTAAAGTTAGATTAAAATATGGTGAATTACTTTATGAATGTAAAAGAAATTAACTTAAATATAGTGAAGAATGGTCAGATAATCAGAATAGCATCTTGTAATTTTATAACAAGCAAATAAAAGGTTCAAAATTATGCAAACACTGTGTATGTAGTTTATGATAAGGAAAGAGCTGTCATATAATTTGAACATTAGGGACTTTGGGCAAGCTTGTTACAAGTAAAAAAGGTCTTATAAATGAGAAAACTAGGGACTTAGGAATCTACATGCATTCATATATGTTTGTAGTAGGCGAACGGATCCTAGGATGCTGCCATATCGATAATGGTACATTATGACACGGGCATCCAATATGTTTCACCAAGTTTGAACAATCTGTTGAGTCGTTGACCCACCCTCCTGCCATCACAATGTGTTTTCATGAATGTAATTAAAAATTGACTAGACTGTATTGTAACCCTGCCCCTCTTATGTCATTAACAATTTATAAATGCTTGGTCTTCACTGCATTTATATGTCAGCTGAGTGAATGAAGATGTTACCCCATGCCCAGATTCTTACATCCTATGATGAGGGAGTGGACAGGTGGGGGGGGGGGCTAAAGGGTCACATTGCAAGACTATCATTCTTCTTTACTGTCTTCTATCTTTTGCCAGGCCCACAACTATGGGGGTTTAGGGAGTGCGTTTGAACCCCCCTTGCCAAAAATTCTTTCAAAATCATGCAGTTTTTCACCATTCTGAGCACTTTTCAAGTGATTTGAGCCAAAATGGTCAAATGTGAACCCCTCTCTTGAATTTTTAAAAAGTTAAAACTCCTTGGCAAAAGCTGGCTATGGGTCTGTTATTATTACCTTTATGCACTGTTGTATTTGCCTATTAATTGCTTTGTTTCATTCTATTTTGATGTGTGTTTCTATTTACTTTTGCACATTTATATTTCTAACATGTTTATAATTCTGTGTGTTATGCTGTATGATTGTTTTAAAGGGCGTTTGAGTGGGCGAAGAAGTAGCCTGCCTAGTGGCAAATCAAGTGGGTTTATTTTGAGTATTTGCTAGATAATATATCATTAGTCATTCTTATTCCCTAATTGGTGCTCGGGCCAGTTATTTTACTCAAAACATTTTACAAACCATCATCAAATTTTTATGTAAGCTTTGACATCCTTGGAATAGTACATCATGATTATTGCTAGAAAAAGTACAACCCTCAACATATAGCATATTGCCGCAAGACTGTGGACCCCCCTGAGTTCTTCACCTTCACCCTGTGTCGGGAAGATGCAAGCGCACAGGAAGTGGGTTCACAGTCTTGCGGCAAGACTACAACATATAACTTAGCTTATTATTTAAATTACAAATGCATAATCCGTGATAATAACATATTGGCAAAGTGCAATATATTGTAACATATACCCATCATTATTTAAATTGAATAAAAACATCAATGTTATATTACAGTTTTTATAACATTCAGTGCTTTTAATGCTAAACGCTTTTATCATTTTGGACCTTGTTTTTTACATCTGAAAACAATTTGTATTAGCTTACAATATTTCAGATTTAGATCTCTTTTAGAATAATGCATTCATTATAAGTTATGTAAATACTTTCTAATTTTGTTAGATAGTGTTTCTCTCATTTAATAGTAGTTTCTATATCTTTTTAGTTCTTAATTTTCCTTGAATGATTTCTTTGGCTATATTAAATTTAATTATCTGACACACTGCTCTGATTATACTGCAATAAAATTAAAATAATAATAAATAAATTAGTAATAAATAGATAATAAGTATAATAGTGATAATAGATAGATTTCGTAACTCACTTATAGCATGTTTATTATTCCCATATAACTTATAAAGCGTTTGATTACATCATCATTTATTGCGCACCTCAATATGTCCATAAGGGTAATATTCTTATAAATCGTCTATACATAAGGATATCACACTTATGGACGTATTGAGGTGCGCAATAAATGATGACGTAATTAAACGCTTCATAGGTTATACATTATACGGGAATAATAAACATGCTATAAGTGAGTTGAGAAATCTCTCTAATAATGATACACATGCTCATTCTGGTATAGAAAATATGCATACTGTATTTTGTATGCATACTGTGCTATGTGTGTGTATTTGGTATGTTACACTTTTGGATGGTTTGTACAATTTTGTACAAATCACCAAATTTTGCACGATTTTGCATGATTTTAGGGCTGGCATAGAATTGAATTTTCTGAAAAAATTCTCGTAATGGAAAGTCACATAATTCATAATGTTTATCTCATGATTTAATTTACATACTTTTATATGAAACTTTCTTTCGATGAAATAATGAATTATGGATGCCTTTGAACCTGCTCCAAGATGTAATTTCCCAAAATAATATTGAACTCTTTCCATTCTTTGTCAGCCCTTTGTGATTCAGTTTTTTGCATGGTTTGATTTGCACATTTTCTTCTGTTGCTTATAGGTAGCTCGAGTCTCTCTAGTAAAACTGGTAGAAAAATGAGCATGCCAGCTGCTATGGGTATGTCTAGTAGACCACACATTCTCAGCTTTTCTATTACCTCCTACACCAATTCTCTGGTTACCTCCCACTATCTTGTATCTGGAAAGAGGCAGAGATACTTTTACATACTTTGAGATTCATTTATGAACCTCCAGGGTCATAAGAGGATGAACAACACCATAATTCATAGATGAACACATCTTTATGTAAAGATGAACCACCTAGAGGTTTATCTGTATATTGAAACATTTTTTGCATTCTGGGTACTCCCCTTCTTCTTCAGGTAGAATAATGGGGGAGGGGTGGGTGATTCAGGGTGTTAATGCGAGACTATTGTAACCTCAATTCTCTTTGTATTATTCAACTCTTCACTTCATTGTATACAGTAACTTCCTTATTGACCCCTTGATATGCCATACTTAATAAATATACAGGCATACATTTTATTGTTCGCTAAAAATGAAAGGTACACATTCCCCTATGAGATAATACACTGCCCTATTTGGCCCTTTGATGTGCTAATGATGATGAACTCAACCCTTGATATGCTATACTTCATAAATATACAGACATGCATTTTATTGTTCACTAAAAATGAAAGGTACACATTCCCCTATGAGATAATACACTGCCCTATTTGGCCCTTTGATGTGCTAATGATGATGAACTCAACCCTTGATATGCTATACTTCATAAATATACAGACATGCATTTTATTGTTCACTAAAAATGAAAGGTACACATTCCCCTATGAGATAATACACTGCCCTATTTGGCCCTTTGATGTGCTAATGATGATGACATCTTTCCTGCTAAATGATTTTAGGATATTTCGCTTTGATCTCATGTTCTGGGAGAACATTTTTGTAAAACTAAGAAAATCAAGAAATTCTGTTCCTGTGATAACATTAAATAGGATAAAAACATATATGTATAAAATCAACTTCAAATATTTTTATTGTTAAGTTTCTAAACTTGTTACACTTCGTAATCATCCTTTATTATTTTCAATGGTAATCCCTATCCGAAATCAAACTAGGTAGAAGCTCACCCATAAACATTTTTTGCCCATTTTTCTCCCCATATTATTTTTGGGATCACACAGTGAGCCTATGGGATCGACTAGTTTTTATCAAAATCAATTTAACAAACAGTTTAAATACAGATTTTAGTAACTATAACCCGATTACTCAAACTAACTCTTGCATTCTCAGCAATATGTGTAATAAGGTTCTATGTAAGATAGTCAAAATAAAAACTAAACATCTATGATCAAAATCAGAATCGGAATTTTTTTCTCCCAATATTTTTTTCTATGTGCTTATATGAACTTGGGTCTTGTCAGTTGTGGCTATGGCAGTCTTTGGTATTTGTACAGTGTACTTGTGTTGTACTGTAGTGTATCAGTGAATCTGTTTCATAATGTATTTTTGAGATAGAAATGTCTTGTACTGTACTGTGTGGTTCCTTTGATTTCTGTAATGGCAGGATAAAGTCCTGTATGGTACTACACTGTTCTATTCTGTACCATCAGGATTCTAGAAACTTTTATTATACTGTACTGTACTGTACTGTACTGTACTGTACTGTACTGCACTGTATTGTTCTGTAATGTACTACACTATATTATACTTTACTGTGCCTTCTCAGTACAATACAATGTTTTAGTAAACTGTACAGTGATGTGATGTTAACTTATTATTTTTTCAACACTGTTCTGTCCAGTGATGTTATGCTGGAGAGATAAAAAAACTTTACACTATGGTTAGAGCAATATCAATTGTAC